TGATTGCCTAAGAATCTCAGATGTGCTACCTTTTGTAAATTAATAATAATTTGCTTTAGATTAATGAGGAACCAAAACGGTTTCTCATAAATCTGCAAATGCTTAACATATTTTGAAAACTAATCATTTAGTGAGAGAGACTTAGGTTTCTTCTCTCCCTTAAGAAAGGGCTGGGAGTGGAGGGAGGAAGAAAAAGCAGCCAAATATTTTTTGAGTAACAGAGAAATGTGAAAACAGTGAGTGAGAGTATATGCATTCCTGGCTTTGTTTTGTAATCTCAGCTGTTTGGGGGGTGCTTTTTACATCCTAGAAAATGCCAAGGTGCCCTCTAGTTGGTGTCCTTGGAAGTGTCTAGTGGATACTAAGTGGTTGGTCTGGGTTCTCAATATCAACAAGTAACCAGACTGTATTGGAAATAGCTGAATTCTGGTCCAAATCATGGTCTCTGCATGCTGGCAGTGCTCTGCAGTGATTGGGTAACTGGAGTGTGTCTTGGAATGAGCAGGCATCATGGGTCCTGCTTTCTGTCTCGACATTTTTTCTTTCAGTATTTAAACTGCATCTTGGGATAAGAGAAATGTAGGCTCAATTCATCCATTAATCTGATACTATTCTAATTCTATTTTTCCTGTGGACTTTCTTATAAAATTGGAAGAGGGAAAGAAATCCACTAGAGAGGGGAAAACTAGGGAATTTTTTTTCTTTTTCCTTAAAGGTATCTGAATGATTCTAAAGTTATGCCAACATTTTAAGAGCGATCTAGTAGTTAATAAATTGCTGCAGTTGCTATTAAGAAAAGCAAAGAATACATGTAGAATCCCTGCCCCCTCATCCTAAACTTATTTGGGGGGAAGGAATGAAGTTGATATAGAATACTGTGGTGGAACAATAGTGCATTCTGAGCTGGATTTCCTGTCTCTAAGAGAGTTTTCTTTTTATCAAGCTTCAGTAAATGTAAGAATTACAGTTTTTGGGGATTCTAATGCTGTGACAATATTTGTCAAATATGAGTATATTCTAATATAAGATACTATCTTAAATGGATGTTTTTTTCAGAAGCGAAAAAGACTTCATCTCAATGATTCTGCATGAATTCAGCTAAGTGCCTGTGGCAAAGATTTGCCCATATTTCTGCTTTTAAGTCATCCTGGCACACAGCTGGATTTTGTTCTTTTCAGCTTGATGTAGTCTTTCACCTCTGCACTATCAAATGGAATATGGCGAAAATGATAGGTGCTGCTTCTACACCTCCTCCTAAAATCTTCCCATGTGCACCTCTTATCCCTTTTCCGCCTTGATGATGAAGTCTTCAGGCCCAGAGGATAGTAGAGTCACAATTTACAAAGTTATGAGTCTTCGAATGAACACACTGAAAATTCCTCATGAGAAAGACGTCAGGTGACAGTTACAAGAAATAAAACATTATTCAGGGTGTTGAGGCCCTGACATTAAAGGATTGCTTTTTCACAGCAAGTGGCCTTAATCCCTTTGCAAATGCTGGGTTGTTATATGCAATGACTAAGATGATCATGATCTGTCTTCTGTGCTAGATTGTCTGGATTCTGGTCTTGGCTTCTACCTGTTAGTGTCTGAATGATTCTAAGCAGAGAAGTATCCTTTCTCTCTGGCTCTGTTTTTCATCAAAAAACCATGTTATTTGTAGCAAAGTCTTTAAAATAAGGAAGAGTTAGACAGAAGCTCTGAAAATTTAAGCATAAGAAATTTGTCTTAAGGATATAGATGGCTTACAGTATCAGAGATGCTGAGACATCCAGCTTAGTAAGGGCAAGAATCAAGGGAGATCCAGGAAGCAAGAGATGTTTCGTACAATGGAAAACTACTTTGCCAAAAAGTAAGATAAATGTGAGGCATTCATAGGTAAATGGACACAATTTGAGAATATAAGATTAAATGAAATAAGTCAGACACACGTTTAAATACTGTGAGGCTTCTCTCATATAAGAAACTCTCACTATATAATATATAATATATAAGCACACATACAAAGCAAAATAGAAGTTATATAAATGAAAGTAAGGAGAAACTCAAATAACTCCCCAATTTATGTATTTCGTAGTTTCAATAATATTTTAATATATGTTTCATTTGAACTACTAGTTTCTCTTAGTTCATTGCAAAGAAAGTTTTGTGCTATTATATTTTTCTTCTTTCTATGTCTCTTTTGTCTATGTCTTACACTCTGAGTAATTACTTTTGAGATTATGGTATACAACGTGTTAAAGACACAGCATATTGTCATTATTTTATTATCAAATTTTGTTTTATTTTTTCATAAAATAAAAATAAAAAAGATATTGAAAAAAGTAATTAAAACTCTTGTCATGGGCATCAAGTTTCATTTAAAGTGGAGAAATAATTTATGGTGATCTATAACACTGCGCTGTGACCACAATTAACCGTAATGTATTATATAGTTTAAAATTATTAAAATAATGCATTTTAATATTTTCACCATCAAAATGATAAGTTGGGGAGATGATGAATATTTTGATTGGCTTGACTCTTACTGCAAGGTACACATAGATCAAAACATTATATTTTGTTTCATAAGTATACTTAATTATTTGTTGATTAAAAATAATTTTAAAGCTCTTGCTGTGGGCCCCCTTAGAGGTTTATCACAAGTTATTTTTTCCAACCTTGTGTATGGGTCAGATTTTTATCATGGGAAAACAAATAAAATTGTTCCATGATGTTGTGGCTTCATACAACAATATTTGTGTGACTCATGGTTTCTTAGATTGACAGTTCAGGTTAGGCCCAGCTGAGCTTTGCTCTCTCATGTCTTGGCTATCAGCCACCTTGGGAGTTAGGGGCTGGCGATCTATGATGGCCTACCCATTGACCTGACTCGTATCTGTCCCATGTTTTCTGTCATCTACCATCAGGTGAACAATGTTGTACACAAGGCACTTGGACAGGGGTCCTAGAGAGATACACATGTGTGCCAGGCCTTCTGAGATCCACACTCAGAATCTTCTCAAGGTAGTGTCTCCCTCATACTTTTGTCCAATGCAAGTTCCAAGGCCAGTCCCAATTCAGAGGATGGGAAGTAGGCTGCTCTCCTAGGTGAGAAGAGCTTCAAAATCCATTTTGAAGTATTATGTGGGAAGAGGGTGGTGGTGAAGAACAAGTTTCAGCAAACCTTGCTTAGAGGGTGTGTGTCTACTCCTTGGTTAGCAAAGGCTGGTCGGTTTCATACTTCCCCTTGAAGTGAGCTCAGCACAGGAGAAGTTACTTCCCCAGAGGAAATCAGAATGAAGAGAAATTGGCCTGAGTGATACTCTTGGTTTTGAAATTCACCATCCTTAGCTGTACGACCTCATCAAAACACAGAAACTTCAAGGAAACTTTCTCACCTGCAGAGTGAGTTTAGTTATGTTACAAGGTTGCTGTGAGATGTACAGGTGATGCCATAAGACTTAGTGCCATTTTTATATATAGTAGTTGTCTCAGAACTTAGTGACTTCTCTAGTTTTTACTTTGAACTGAAAGTGGAATGAGAGAGAGATAAGCATATCTTCAGAAAAAATGCTGGGAAAGTTCTAACCTACCTTGTTCTTCATGTAGCAGTTAAGAAGCAACTGTCACAAAGGGATCTGTCTTCACCAACTTCAGAAGCTGAGGGCACTCGGTAGCCCTTTTCACCTAGGAAGTATTGGGGTGGACACATCATGTGCTTTGGCTTCATCCTCTCTGAGGGGTTGAGTGATGGAGATACCATTTTGAATAGGTGCTGCTCAAGGTCTTCTTTAATGAAGCTCTTTTTCTGCAAAATAATGTGGCTTTATGGACTTTGAGATGTCCTTGGTCTCCAAAGGAGTTTGACAAACATGTGTTGGATGAACATTTGAGTGAATGGACAGGTAAATGAATGACTTGGCATAATTTCTGGCTTCTTAGGAAGGCTTTAAAAGTCAGAAGAGTCTTAAATTTAGACAACAATTTTGTTCTAAAAGCTAGTAGAGGAAATAGTTTAGGGCTAGAATGGTAGATGTAAAGTTTAACACAGTTTTTCTTTTTACCTTTTCTTCTTCTTGATTCTGTTTGTATTTGCAGTCCAAACTAGCTTTTGAAATTAATACTGTTGGGTTTCATTAATTTGTCCTCTGTGTAGCAGTTTGGAGGTGTTGTAGTCATATATAGGCAGCGAATTCCTAGTTTTTAAAGCTTAAATTTGGTCAATAGGTCTGTAGTAGATTTTCTTACCTTAGAACACTGAACAGCAAGTAGACTGTAGACAAGGATTAAAATGGTGTGCCTGAAATCATGAACTCAGGGCCACTATACCCCACTCCAACCCTGCTGCTGTGCCTGTAGCCTTCATGCCTCTGGAGTTATAAAAGTGCCTTGTCTTCTGTTTGCCTTATTCTAGATTAGAGCACTCTGTGAATTACAGCTTGCTTGTCTTCTGATCTTCATCCAGAATTGGGGAATGACAGACTCTAGATGAAGACAGTGACTGGTCAGCAAAATCCCATCTGAGGCCACAGCAGATGTGTTTGTTAAGCAGAATCCCGTTTGGAGAATCTGAATGATGGGTGCATTGCTGGGTCTTCTTGGGGAAAAGCTTCAAGGAATTTATAATTGTGAAAGGGCACAAAAGTAAGGAAATGGTATAAGTGGTATGTGCTGGCTCCCCTGAGACATTCTGGGTTTCCATCTGTTGCTCTGTCTCTCATCTAAGTTAGCATCTGTCTGTGACCTTTTCCATTAAGTGAAGAATTACGGTCATTTATGGCTATTAAAACAACTTGACATAGACTAGACATGGAATCCCTCCATGGGGCATTCTCACTTCTCCCGAGGTCTTTTCTAACAGTAAGTGAGAGGTAAGTGGAACAAAATGAATTCTCACTCTAACAAGGGTCAATTCTGAAAAGAAAGAGAGATGACCGATTTTTATTTCCCTAACTCTTTCCAGATGTGTCTTTCTCTGTCTCTGACTCTTTTTTTGTCTCTGTCTCTTTCTCTCTCAGCATAGGTGATGGGTACTTTCAGGCAGGAGTAGCTACTGTAAGCTAAGTTCCTCTAAATGCAGTAGTGGAGAAGAACTCAAGACTCTGCGTGGCAAGATACTTGCTTTGCGAGCCAGTTGTGTCTTGGTTCCCATGAGACAGTTGAGACAACGTTCCCAAGGCTTCAAAGAGGAGGTTAGTTGATGTGGTTCCATTAATGATTTGATTTTTTTCCCCTCTCACCTAGTTCATGGACTTCAAGCAAAGATTTTGAGAATTCGTTTTGGCAAGGGTGAACTTGTTTCTGGGAATAACTTTTCTAAATTTGGTTGCATCTTTTTCAAAATCAGTTTCAAGAATTAGATTCTTCAGAAAATTTTTAAAAATATTCAATGAATGCAGCATCAAGAAAGTTTTGGAAGCCGAAATTTTTGGAGACCTGAAGTTATTGACAACAAAACTGTCTGGAAGGCATTTGAACTTGCTTTTATTCATTGTAAGTCCTAAATAATGATAGTCTAAATAGCATGCAAGATTTCTCTTTGAAACTATAATCGAGGAAAAAATTTAGCTTATAAGAAGAATCTGTTGCTAGATTTTTAGCAGGGCAAACTGTACTGTATACAACAGAATAAAATGAGATTGAGAAGTCCATGATTCTAAATTTGGCAAAAACATCACAAATAAAATAAAGCATTTTTTTCTGAAAAATTTGCTTCTAAACATATTTGCCTAAGAAAAGAGGCAAATAAAAAATAGTGGTGCTGATCATGGTCTTTGTGTCAACTGCCACTCTCAGTGCGTACACAGAGTCTCTGTGTCAGTGTTCACTAGAGGAGCAGCTGGGGCACACTGCAGAGGCAGGTGTGGGTCCAGGTCAGAAAGCTGCATTGGAAAGCTAGAGTCTGTGCTGGGAGCAGAAAAAAACTGGAAACATACGTTCAAAGGTGATGGTGAAGCCTGGAGGCCCCTGCAAAAGAAAAAGTGCAGACTGTCTTCCTCTTTCCCCTTTTATTCCATCAAGGCTACCTGCCTATTGGTTGGTGCCTCCTACACCTAGGGTGGGTCTTCCTCTTTAGTTTGTGGCCTAATATGTCTGTTATCCACAACTGCACCTGGGATTGTGCTCCTTTACTGTGCTCCACTCTTGTTAATCCATTTGAGTTGATGTCACAGTGAACTGTTGGAGGCTCTAACTTGTCCATTGTTGCTGTGTTTGGAGAGTGGGCCTTTTAGAGCAGTTAAGATCAAGTTAGGTTCATAAGGACTGGGCCCTGATTTAACAGGATTATTATCTCCATAAAAAGAGACACCAAGAAGCTTGTGGTTCCATCTCTGTCCTTCCCCATGTGAGGACAGGGTGAGCGGGTAACCAACTGGAGAGTATTTATCAAAAACTTAATCTTTTTAATACTAGATATCCTAAGCCACAGAGCTATGAGAAATAGTTTTTTGTTGTTTGGCACTCTGTCTGTGTTATTTTGTTATAGCAGCCTGATATACTAATATAGTCTTTGCTTAGAAGGACTACTATGAGTTTGGCAGGCACAATAGCAAATGTAAAGACATTTTCTTTTTTAAAAGAATAAAAATTGTAATTTAATCTTGCAATTTTGAAAAAAAGACCACTGCCACTTTATGAAAATAATGTGCTAATGATAAAAAAATGTAATTTAGAAAAATACTAGTACCAGGGTGAATAAAGCAGATAAATATACACCAAGGAAAATTGTTTTGCGTATGTTCTTTTAAAATGTTCAGATATAGCTGAACTAGGGATACAGCTTAGTTGCACAGTGCCTTCCTGGCAAGCATGAGATTGATTTCTGGTGTAAAAAAAATGTTCAGATGTTAAACATGCATTAAATATTTTAAAATAGATGCTGTCTGGTCATTTTTAGGATCTCATTTTTAAAAATAATTCTGACCAGAACTACTTCTTGTTTCTACAGATAAATTAAATTCAACATATTGGTCAAGTTTTAAATGCTTTAAAAAAATTTTATTTTTACCACATTTTCATTTTCAAACTTGCCCTGAGTTCAGTGCACAGATTGTATGGTCACCTTTGGGAAGGATGAAATATTCAGTCCAAGCAATGCATTTTCATTGAGGTTTGTAGCTGTTGTGCCTTCAGTATTGAGTTCACAGCTCTAAAGTGAGCTCCTTCTATTTATTAGAGCCAAGATGTAGTGCTACATAATACTCAAATTTCTGGACACCCTGGAGGACCACAGTTGTCAGCATCTCTTCAAGAAAGGGGTAGCATGTAACTGGATTCTACTCCGTGGAATATAGGCAGAAGTAATGTATTTTACCTCTGAGACTGGCTCTTGAAATCTCCAGTGTGCTCCTTCAATATCTTCTCTTTTCTTTCCTACTGGACAGAGATAACCCAGCTGAAGACTTGAAGGCAGAGCTGATAGACAGATGTTCCCAAGTCCTTGAATAACTGGAGAAAGCATTTTCTGCAGACTTACATTAAACTATGACTTGAGGAGCAGATAACCATGTTTAGCATTACCTCTCTGGTGTGGGGGATGATTGTTAGAACTGTAAGGATTGTGTACCTTGACTAACACACATCCAACTGTCTCCTAAGAAAATTAATCACAGGCTATTTCTTTTCCTGACTGGGTCTCCTGTTCCAATCCTATGTAACTTGGCTTGGAACAAAGAGTGTACTTATCACTAAATCAAGTGATTATGAAAGTAATTTGTGTCTTTATAGTGGGTGGATAAATAGATACATATTTGTCTTTGGGTCTGTTAGATTGTCCTTATAATAAACTATATTGGACATGAAGGTTATATTAAAAATACTTACCATGTATTGACATTTGGAGCAAGAATCATTAAGTAAAACATTGTGCTAAGTGTAAATATAAGTACAATTCTCAAAGCAACTATTCAAGGTAGCTATTTTAGCTCCATTTTTTAGATAAGGACATAAAGGTGTGAGTAGGGGTCCCCAACTCCCTGTCACTCGCATACCTACTTGAGCTCTGCCTCCTGTTAGACCAGTAGTGGCATCAGATTCTCATAGGAGCATGAACTGTGAACTCAAGGGATTGCGGTTGCACCCCCTTAAGAAAATCTAACGTGATAATAGAAATGGCACCATGTCATAACAGAAGTAAAGTGCACAATAAATGTTAGACCCTTGAGTCATCCAGGAACTAGCTGCCCCCATCTGCAGAGAAGTTGACTTCTATGAAATTAGTCTATGGTGCCCAAAATGTTGGGGACTCATAGCTTAAATAACTTAGAGCACTTCCCAAGGGTCACATTTGTGAAAATGGTGGAACAAGGATTGACACACAGGTGTATTTGCCTCTCAAACCTGGGCCCTCGATCACTGTATTAACCATGATAAAGACATCTGTCAGTCCCACAACCTCTTAAATCTCCCCGTGATTCATAATTCATGATGATCATGATGAGTGACATTTCTGCACACTCATAGGCCCTGAGCTCTAGGCTTGACATGGGTTAGCTCATTAAGTCTCCACAGCCCTCACGTGAGACAGATGTTCCTACTGTCTGTTATACATATACCACGTGTTTCTAGTAGCTACAACAAACAGTAAATAGAAATCAGTCTCCAGCTTACGGCAGAAAAATCTGCAGGTTAGGGAGACTCGGTCACCAGCCATAGAGCCTGATGGGAATTTTCTTTCAAGGAAAGTGTCTTGGGAATCTTAAGTCTTGCTGCTTCCATGGGTGCATTGTAATCTTTAATTTCAGTAAAGAAAACTGGGAAAGCAGCGTACAATGTGGAGTTTGTGTTTCCAAAGTTAAAACAGCCTCTAGGGATGACATGGGAAACGGGACTGAGCAAAGGGAAGAGGAGAAAGCTGGGGAGAGAGGGCAAAAAAAAAAAAAAATGATCAGGTTATGATTTACACATGTGCCAGTTCCCCAAAAGGAATGTTACCGTTATGCATTGCAAACATTTCCTGAACTAAGTGTCCCCATTGTGCTGAAAGAGTTTTATTCCCTCCCAGCGCATACACAAATACCCCTTTGCACTAACTTCACTATGTTTGTCCATCAACAGAAAGCTAGGTTCTGCTAACATCTAGGTGGGATAGTTTGGCTGTATGAAAGCTATCATAGTCAGTCTTCATATTAGCTTTCAGCCAGGAGGAAAAAAGCAGCAGGGACACGCACTGAGAGATTGCAGCTACGTTGCTTGGTTCAGCTCTCTCTACCACCGAAAGAGATGGGGTGGGGGGAGAAAATAAAAGCAGAAAAATACAACCGAAACAGAAGGCAGGAGGAGACGCAGAGGCAGCTCCAGCTTTCAGCAAGCCGGCTCTGTTCCACTTCCTTTTGATTGTCCAGGAAAGCTAAGAAAAGTAAAAACAAGGCTGTGATTCCGTGGAAGGAGCGCTGTGGAAACGTTATGTTAAACAATCGGCCTGTGGGTCAATTGTGAAGGGCGTTAATGTGCGAGACCCCGATAAAGAGATTTGCACGAATGGCTACAAAGCACTTAGTATTTAAATGTGGGCTCCGGTTTGTTCAGCACAACAGTATAAATATAACTAAGGTGGGGTGGAGAAGGAGATTTGGAAATCAGCCGATTTGAAGGAAGCCAACACAAACACTCCAACAAATGCAGCGTTTTGCACAGCCTTTGTGCTGGTCCTGGCTTTGGTCTGTGCTCATGAAAACAGAAAAAAGGCTGTGAAATGGACTGGTTGAGATATTGTGTGCCCCGGCAGTAATAAAATATGCTGTTTATTTGAAAGCCACTTTCTTGCCACATATATTGCATTTTCTGAAGGTGATGGTCTTGTTTATTTTGCTTCGTGATGGGAGGGAGAGCTTAAAAGAGGGCACCGAGTTTCAGGAGGGCTTGGCTTGCTTTTCGGTGGCTAGCCCACTGTGGAACCTGCCGGAGGGCCACAGCCCCTAACCTTGAAGGCTCTTAAAATGTGGTGGTTAATATGAAGGAATATATTTTAGGCTCCTTAGTACATTTATTCTGTATGAAAGGGTATTTTATAATAGACTAAGCAGGCCATATAAAATTAAGTAAGCCTGGATCTGGTGCCTTAAAATATTTGGCAGAATTCCCTGGAAAGCCACATTTGAACATTTTTAATCTATATTATGAGGCAGAAAGGAATAATTATCTTCTGTTGAAGTTCCCAAGTGAGAGAAATGTATTTCCACAGTACTTCCAA